TCTCACACCCCCCCCCCCCCAAAAAAAAAAGCTAAGTCCTCAAACTTTGGTAAAAATCTTAGATGAAAGTCTTTAAAATAAAGTTTGTGCAATTCCTTCAGCCAAGCAAGATATTCAAACACTGGATTTGCCTCCAGCTCTTCTCTGCCCAAATAAAGACGGGGATCCCTACTACAGCATTAAAGCTAGATCTTGATAAAACTAAAGAAACACTGTAGAGGACGTTCCATCAATCAAAATAAAATCAATTATTTTAAATGCCTTAACTCTTCCACGATCATCAAGATCTGCCAGAAATAACGTAACAGGAACCTTCAGGTGAACTTAATTCTTCAGCAGAAATGCAGATTAACCCAAACATTTACTACTCTGTATTTTCACTGCAGCATGGGATGATGCTCTATTAAAAAAAAAAATACTTCTGATCTACACAGCTGCCATTTCAGAGAAGATCGTCTAAACATGATTAATACCTACAAGTTCAAAATACTGTTGTGTGGTTTTGGTTTGGTTTTGTTTGAAATCAAGAGCTATTTCTGATTTCTAGTCAAATTTTGTATCTCTTCTTTTCATTTTTAATCCGTTCCATGTAGTTTTACTTTCCAGTCTGTCTAGGAATTGTCTGTAGCCCAACATATCAAGAAGCAACTGTTATCCGTGTGGATTTCTGAATGTTGTATGCTAGCTGCCATTTTCTGTAGCAGCATCTGTCAGAATTTGTACAGAATTGTAATGTTCTCCTAATCCATAGGCATGTCTCATATACCTAAAAAAAAAACAAACAACCAGTTAGAGAATTAGCATTCATTGTACCTAGAAGTATGTCATGCCAAATATTAACAGCACGGGAAGATAGCTTAAATAAATTCAAGTTTTAGCACAGAAAATATAAAGGTTCATTAAATAGGAGAGTATTAATAAAGACAGTTTTTAATTCTGGTGACTTCCAGGTACATATTAACATAAACTCTGAAGAGGGAAAAAAACGTTTCCTGCTGCATCTTATTTCACTACAGTGAATAATGAAATTTCACTATTATTTTGTAATTATCTAACAGGAAAAAATGACCTTGTAGCATTCTATAAAGCAGTGACTGAATCACACTTCAGACTGATTGTCAGCATTTGAAAAACTCTGATTACAATATCTTTAAACTAAATGTGTCAACAACAAACATAATTTCTAAGCTGCAAGATCATTCTTCGAGCAACTTTTCAACACCAGATACGTAACAGAAAATAAAAGAGCAGGTGAGAATCAAAGCTGAGCCCTCTGCTATAAATGCACTAATTTTAAGAAGGGATAAAACTACATACTTACACAAGTATTATTGGTTTGCCTGAATATTCTTCACCAACAACAATGGGAGGGGAATCCATTTGCACAACTTCAATAGGTGTTTGCAAAATGTGCGACAAAGCCCTTAGCTTTAAGCACAAAAACAATTCAATAACAGGATTAAATCCAACGTGGAGAAGACGACATGGCATTAAGTTTTAGCAGACATGAGTTCAGGCATAACATTTCAAATACCGTTAGAAAATGAACTTTATTAAAATAAGCAAAATTATTTTAACTTTTTAAACTTTAATTGAAAACAGCTTGCCTTAAATTAATCATTGTTTTGACGATACAACACAGGTAACATTGGGCTAGCTTCAGTAACTTGGTAACTACTCTTTCATAAAACAATAAATATGATAAACTACAATAAATATGTGTTTTCTCAAGCTGAAGTTCTGGCTTACATTACCAAAATCTAGCATTGCTCTGCTATAGTCAGATTTGCTACCATCTTAAGTCTGCATAATAAAATACTCTCCCCACTCCTACTGTCAGTCTTTCTAATGATATTTAGGACTACTGAATTCATTAACTTGCATCTTGTCAAACACATCAGAACACCAGCACCCCACCAGAAAAGCTACTAGTTTGGGAAAAGAATTCATAACTATAGGAGAAACTTCTTGATAAATGATTTATGACCATGTTCCCATATGCCTTCAGGTATTTTTTCTCAAGAAGCCCTTTTTTGAAGGTGTATTCACCCACTTGAGAATTTCACAAATAAAAATTACCAACACAATACTTACTTCCAGCTGACCACCCCATGCAGCTGTATTTGCTATATCATCACAGTATTTCTCAAATTCCTCTGTGGGGAAAGAAAAGACAACTTTTAGTACTTATCTTATTTGAGAAGTACTTCCGAAAATACAGATTGCACAATGAAGAACTAGAACCTGAAAAGTCCAAACACATTATACAGGAAAATATGTATGTTCACTGAAGAGAAGGAAAATAAAAGAAAAACACCAAAAGCCAAAATAATCCCCATTCCTCTTTTAGAAAGAAAAATTAAGATTGAAGACAGGAAGGAAAACAATTAAGGGAATAAAAAGAAGTACAGGTTTTAGTTTTAGACTTTTATTTAGGTTTATTTAAAACTTTTTAGTCATGCTTGTTAATAACAAGCAAATTGCTTACAGTTTTCTTCTTGTTAAGTCTTAGAGGGTGTTGCTTTGAAACTCTAAAAGAGAATGTGATAGCAAGTAGCATGCTTAGTTCTTATGTTACCTAGGTGTCAGGTATGGTTTTAATATCTTGTAATGGTATTTAGTTCAACTGTTGGGTTTGGTTTTCTGTGTTTGGTTTTATTTTTTTAAACTTCCAAATTAGCTGCCTTGGTTTTAACCTCTGAAGTATTTATTCCCAATAGCTCATCTGTTACTAGCCAAACAAACCTTTTGTGGATCACGTTCTACAGAAATCAAGCTTTCAAATTTATAAATTATAACCCTTCAGGCTTCTGAACCCTATGAATAGATTCTGATAAGGAAGGAACAGATTTTTCCAAAGACTGCTCAGAATTGTTTTTCATTCATTCCCCTTATAACAGACTTAAGAGACATAAGAAAACCACAGCTCCCTGATGCTCTGCAGAACTTCATTCAGTCTTCTCTGGGGGCACATTTAGTGCGTGACAATTATCTCTGTCAACATGGGAAAGACATCTCCTACTTCACAACAGCCCCCAGTCACCAAATGAAATCCAGAGCAATAACTATTACATGAATGTAGCAGTAAGTTTAAAAAAAATAAATAAATGTATAAAGTCATACGCATGATGTTCCAGACACACAGTAAGAAATAAATAAACTATGTATTGCTCAAGTATGAAGTACATAAATTCCATTTAATTGCATTTACTCAGCCTACACCATTGCTTCACACTAAATGACTTTCTATTTTTCAGACTATTTTGTTTATAAGGGCTTAAAAGGAGTAGTATAAACAGGGAAAATAAAGGGTATAATACAAAAAAGTATCTATGCAAACTATTATAAAAAAAGATTTGCTTGAATTTCACACACATTTTTAACAGCTTTCCTATGTAAATTGAAAACACCAATAGAAAAGTTGACAAAAAAACATCCCTAACTTGGCAAGCAATCTCTTTATAATACAACTTAAATCACATCCCAGAACATGATTACCATCTAGTAACCAGCATTTATTTTTTTTAATGGGGAATAATTTCTGCTAATTGCTTAAAAAAAAAATAAAATTACATAGATTCAGATGTACCAAGGTTCATAGCAGATCATAATTCTGTGTTCCATAAAACACAGCCAAACCAACAGAGCAACAAAGTTCAGGAACAAACGTTAGAGGGGATTCCAGTTCAGCTCTAACTGAGATGGAGAATGATCAGAAATAGTTACAACAGCTTCTAAAAACCTCTTAAGCTCCAAGTCTTACCTCTGCTATACATGTCTCCAGTATTAGGGTTTGTAAGAAACGGCAGGAAGTCATCAAAGTGACTTTGCATATACTTTGCTGTTTGGTTCCTCAGAGTTGCAACAGTCCAGGAATTCTGGCAATCCTTGAGCTGATCCTCGATAGCTCTGTACATGCAATGGCCATCCGAAGGGATCTGTTTAATCTCCAGGTGCCTTGCTGCCAACAGGGAGGCAAGTTTCTGACTTTCAAGATGTCTAGCACCCGTTAAATTTTCTATCTCAGCTTCAGCTATCCTTTCTTCTCTTTCTTTCTCCAAGGCAGCTTTTTTTTCCTTAGATTAAGCACACATAAAAATGACATCAAATGTTAAAATGTAAAGGCATCTTCACAGTTTTTGGCTTAGTGCTTGCTTGTAACTCTTTAAATGTTTTCACAGATATGAATGTACTGAGAAATGTTCTCTCGAATCAGCACTACCAAATCTTAGAGACCTCCTAGTCCGAAACTGTAGCAAAGGGTAAGTGAACAGTACATCCTAACTGCTTCTGACAACATTATGTGACAGGAGACACCTTAATTAGATCAACATGCAAAACAACACTTTACAACAAACACCAATACAAAGGCTATTAGCAGTGGTAATTTCTTCAGGATCACCTATTTCACCACATCTGCAAAGAACTCAAGGAGGAGAATTCTAATTAAACAACAGAAAATATTACTCTTTCATAACAAGTGAGAGATCCACCAGTTACGCATATGATTGCCTAAGGGAGCTTATGTCATGGAACTGAAAATCCCTCAGGCTAGGCACTATACATCATAAAAGACTGCTCCTAACCTAAAGGATAGATAAGAATGCATACAGGGAATACTAAAGGGGATGTAGTAAAATATAACATTAAAATAACTTTATAGAATGCTTCACAAGTTTACGCTTCAGTTAATAAGGGAATAAGAGTCAAAGTAAGCAAGCAAATAAAAAAGTAGGCAGTAAGAGAATGATCTTTTCATCTGCACACTTAAAATTCACCACAAATCAAGACCTGTCTGGTTTAGGCTACCACAATATAGGAAAACTAGACTAGAGAGTTTCTAGTTTGCCTAGACACATTGCGATAAATTAAGAACACCCTTTTATCATGCCTGGATCATGTAGCAGGGGATGGACTCTGCAATAAAGCATCGTTCCTCTGGCCCGGTATAAACATTCATGCAGGTACAATGAGAGTGTTAATCCATCGCAATTTAACAGATGAAACTTAACAAGACATAACACTAATAGCCTTGACACCAGGTACTGTTTCTTAACAACTCAGAAACTTACAAGCATTTTAACATTAACATTCCTTTGTTAAACGTGTGAAGTTCTACTACATGCGTATTTTCCATGTAGCATTTTACACTATTTAAATGCAATTATTTTATTCCTTTATTAATGTTCTTAGTCACATTATTTCAAAATCACTTCCTTTACAACATTTGTTTTTTCTGGTTCCCATCTCCTGATCTATTTTGATTCCCAGCTCATGGCTGAGGGTAAAAAAAAAAGTATGACTATAAAATGCTTACATATCTCTAGGTAGTAGCTTTACAGATTTTCAAGGCACCCAGTAGGTACAGCATCAATAATGAATTAGCCAGGTAATGTCCCCTGCAAAATTGTTTAACTTTGGTTATTACAGTTAAGTTTAAGCGAATATAACTTCAGTCAAATATTTGTAAAATTTTGAAAAGTTGTCATACCCTCCTCTTCTGTGCTTTTGATATTCGAGGAGGCTGAATTTGTTGCTCTGCTCCTTCAAGCTCTAAATTTGCAACCCCATCAGCTATCGAATCTGTCTAAAAAGAAAAAAAAGTCAAAACGTTCTTATTAATATAAATGATATCCTTAAACAGTTCTTCTGTTAAGCATCTCCTTAACAGTTTTAAGTTCTGTTCCTAGGTAATTGCAGGGTGTATTTATGAAGTTTAACCACAAAGATCTGTGTATAGCACAGAACCTGTCACAGCCAGAAGTATTTCACATCCCAAACCACTGTCACGCATTATATTACTTTTTCTGTAGTCTCCACAAAGAGACAGTTATGAACAGCACACCTCAAATTTAGTCTATGAAAGGGAAAGTTTTTCTCACCTTACCAGACAAATGAAGTACCCAAACAGCCATTATCAAGTTCTGTGACAATTAAAAGAAGAGAAGGCTCTGCTTTCCATACCAAAGCATAACCAGCAGGTGGAAAAGACAGGGAGTTGACTCTCCCCAAGAAAAATGACAAAGCTAACCCCATAATGGTATGAACTAGATGTCACCTTTGGAAGCATGGACATGTTTCAATCTGAATAAAAAAGTTGAGAATTGAAAGAAACCACACATCTCAAAACAAAATCCTCTCAATGCAAAGCTATGTCTAGGGCAAGAATTTTAGCTTGAAAAGCCCTCCATCGTAAAGTTTTGACACCTCATTTAGCAAAATAAAACAAACTCTTGAAATTAATCTAAGACACAGGTAAACAGAAGCATTATGTTTAATGCTCATGCATTAATCATCTGCTTAAGCATCCAATTAAGATATACTACAGATGATTGTTAATAGGGTCATAACTTGCAATTGAAAACTTTTTTTCTTTCCACAGGGATTCTCAGCAGACGCTTCTCAATCAGGTCTATTTCCCTAAAAAGTCATTCAGAAATGTTTTTACTCTCCAATTTCAAATGAAAGTACATTCTGCTTAAATCTTCGCTAGGTGACTAATCAGAAAACATTTAGTCCAGAAAGCATCAGGCAGACAGGGTTTTTGTTTGTTTCTTTACAAGATTTAAACAGCCAGAAGGCACCTGCTGTTAGGCGAACACTTCAGGAGAGGTATGAGCATGTAGCACTAGCTCCATTCACAGATTAACGCTATTGCAGCAATTTAGCCATAGGGTCTCTTCCCGTGTAGGCAGGAGGAAGTATATGAACAGGTCTACTTGCACAAACACTCCTTCAATTCAGGCACAGGATACAAATGAAGTTCTTTTCAATACTGGATACACAGAATTAAGTTTATGGATCGCAAATTCACTATGACAAGAGTTTCCAACACTCTATTTATAAAGTGCTAAAACACAGGTGAATTTTTGTATGTCACACAAGTAGCTAGTTTCCTCATTCCTGCAGCTAAATTTGACTAACGCCTAGCCTCTGTTGAAAATTAAGTGGTTTGCCATCAAACAACAAACTAGAAGCATTTAAATGTGGTTGCATTGCCAACATGGCAGAACAGCAGCATTTAAGAAGACAGTTCCCATCATCACAGAAAGTCTCTTATTACAAAAAGGTCTTGACAGAATTGCAAGACAAAACACACTGCATCAGTCAAATGCCTACTGATGGCCAACAATACTCTAGTAGTATACATAAGATAATTAGAATAAGAACATAACAGGAACCTAAAAAAAATATTTAAGATGATTGAGCTACTAACATAGCTAAGAGCAAAAACAAATACTGCTCAACAACAAACAAAACCCCAAAGCTATAATGCCCCTTCTAGCCATGCTCACCCACCATAACAGCTGAATGTTTCCAAAGATAAAAAGAGTTACTAATACTGCGAGGAAAACGAGAAATACTTTTAAGTGTTATTTCATTATAATTTCTAAGAGTTAAAGAAGCCCTAACAAGAATTGTATCCGCACAACTTCCACTAAAATTAAAGCACCTACCTTAGTCTGCTCAGGTAAAGCTTCCTTCAACTCCTTTAATTCTTCCTTGTGCTTCTGTTCAAGTTCTGCCTCTAGTTTGGCAACTTCATCAGCCAGCTGTTTTCGTCTCTTCTTATCATTCTTGGGAACAGCATTTTTCATGCCTTGAATTTTTGCTGTTAGAGAAGTAGCGTAACAAAACATTAGCTCTAATGATAATAGATACTCCACAGTCATTGCAGAAAAGAGAACTGCAAGTCATACAGAAAAAAAATGTACAAATATCAACATATCAGTATGTTTTAACAGTTTAACTGTGAGATTGCCTGTTACAATCACACTTTAAAGCAGCAATATTTTTCTTAAAAGAACGTGAATGTTGTATCCAAAGAACAGAAAAACTTGTGCAATGTTATCAACACAATAGATCTCAGCCTGTTGCCTTCAAAAAGATTATTGGGCATTGAGATCCCAAATCCTGTCACAGCAAAGATGTGTAAGTTGTTAATCACACAAGTAGCAAATGAAAAGTAAAAACAGAGATTACCTGTCCTTAAAGTAAAGCTTTTAAAAGCAAAACGGGCATTCAAGAACAAAAAACACAACTCTCAACTTGCTCAAATTCAGTAAGTACTTTTAGGCTGTAAGTTAAGGCTCCGTTTCTCAAACCACTGAATAGTTTGGTTAGAAAGGATGTCCGGAGGTCACCTCCTCCAACCTCCTGCTCAAAGCAGGGCTGAATTCAAAGCTACATCAGATTATTATTATTCAGATGATGGTGCAAATCCTCCAGCGATGGACATTCTGCAACATTTCTGAGCAGTTTTTTCCCAATGTTTGGCCATTCTTGACATGAAAATATTTTCTCCTTTTCCTCCCATGAGGATTTTTCTTGTTATCACTTTCAGTCATTGTCTCTCGTCCATTCTCTACACTTGACTTTGAAGAGTCTGGCTCCATCCAATAGGCAGAGGAAACTACAGCCAGGTTCCCCATAGTCTTGTCTTCTTCTCCAGGCTGGACAAACACAGTTTCCACAGCCTGTGCATGAACACACCCTGCTAGCTCTCATCACTTCTGTATTCACTGTTTCAGAGTCACAGCACCAATTATTTAACATTCTGCATTCATCATCTGTACATTTTCCTGTCCTTCACCCTTGACTGAAACAATTAAACTGAAGATTATGGTGATGATAATGGAACTTTTCAGAGGAGGCAGCAAGAATGCTCACACTGAAAAATTTACATTAAGCATTCAGCTCACAGATGAGTCAGCTGAGCTTGGCAGGCAGAAAAGCAGTTTAGTTCATAAAACTTAACATAATGGGGGAAAAGGAAATCCAGGACTTAGGAGGCACACATAGATACACAAGGAGAATATACAGGGGGCGGTGGAGACAAGGATCATCAACTGGAGGAGATGCTGGATTTTCAGACGCTGAAATGCACCTTCTGTTAATTCTTACAAATAAATGGCTTTGCCATCTGTCAAAGAGTTAATCACTGCACTTATCAGGAACGTATTTTTCAAGTAGGAAAACATGTGCCTATATGACACCTGCCTCTCCTAACTGGGAAGACTGCAGCTCTGTCTTCTGTATACCACTCCCATCTTTAGGTAGTGAAGGGCTGCAATTGGATACCCCCTTATCACATTCTCTAGGTGGAAAAGCCCTCTATTCCTCAGCCTCTAGCAATCAATGTGCCATGTGCTCCACCCACGTAACCATAATCCTTGATTTCTACCCCTCTTTTCAATTTCAACCAAATTTGAGGGAGGAAAAGGCATTTCAAAACAGAAGACTCCTACAGATATAGTGACTCTGCAGCCCAATAGTGTCTCCCCTCTTCTTTAACACTCTAACTGATAAAAGGCTGCAGATGGGCTTACTCCATTAGATACCAAAAAAGCCAAACAATGAAAAAGCTGTATCAATATACCAGAAATGAGGAAAGCTTGGCAAAAAGGTTACAATCAACTATAAAACTCACCTCAACAGAATCCAGCTAACAGAACTACTTAACTATGTTAACCTACTGTAACCAGGTAGGTAAATGTGGCTCATGAATAGTTCGCATGTAGCCCTGTAAAATCCCACAGCTCTTCTACTATAGATATATCACTCCAGCTGCACAGAGTCAGAGAATGGTCAGAGTTGGAAGGGACCTTAAAGACCGAGTTCCAACCCCCTGCCCTGGGCAGGGACACCTCCCACCAGACCAGGTTGCTCCAAGCCCCATCCAGCCTGGTCTTGAACCCCTCCAGGGATGGGGCAGCCACAGCTTCTCTGGGCAACCTGGGCCAGGCTCTCACCACCCTCATGAAGTTAATTTCACATCAGTTCACTTTGACCAAACACCTGCCTGGGCAGTAAGGACCATAATGCAGGCTTTTCAACCTAAAACGCCTTACGAAACCAGGCTTTCTCTGCCTTAAAAAAAAAAGCAGCAAAAAAACGTTAACAAAACGCTGATGGCCTAGCGTTACTTTACAGCTCCCAAGCCCTGTCAGGCTCCCGAGATTACAGCAAGGGGAGCTCCGCGGCCCGCACGCCTGCCCAGTGGGACACCCAGCAGCCAAGCCTGGCAACGACACCTCAGCCCAGACACAGCCTTGTCACTGCCGACAGCCTCCCTCCTTTCCCAAGGCCCCCCCCGCCCGCCGAGCTTCTCCCGCTGCCCTGAGGGGCTTCCAGCCAGGGGAAGGCCGAGAGCGGGAGGGAGGCCGAAGCCTCGCCGCCGCCTCCCCACAGGCTAAGGGCGGGCGGGACCCTTCCTCCCCCTTGCCCGCCTTTCGCCGGCGCCCCTCACCTTGCAGCTCCCGCTTCTCCTTGCGCTTCCTCCCCCTTGCCCGCCTTTCGCCGGCGCCCCTCACCTTGCAGCTCCCGCTTCTCCTTGCGCTGCCGCTTCACCAGCTGCTGCAGCGGCCCGTCGGCACCCGCCTCATCTTCCCCGGAGCCCTCCATGAGGGAGCCCGCAGCACCACCCACCCCCTCCCCGCCCCGGGCGCCGGCGGGACTCCCTCACACCGCGGCTGAGGCGGCGGCGCGTGACCCCCGACCCCGGCGCGAGGCGGGCGCTGAGCCCGCGCTTCCGGCAGCGCCGCCCCGCCCCTCCCACCGCCAGCAGCCGCCGTGAGGGGACGAGCGGCCCGGCCCTTCACAGAATCACAGAATCTTCTAGGTTGGAAGGGACCTTAAAGATCATCTTGTCCAGCCGTCAACCTAATTTTGACAAAAATAGTCACCCACACAACAAACAAGGAGCATCATCCCTAAACCATACCTCCAAGCACTACATCAACCCGTCTTTTGAACACTTCCCTTTCCGTCCCCTTCCACCCCACATCTTCTCCCTTCCCTCCCCGTGGAGCTCCTGTGTGTGTGTATGTGCTGCCGGTTGGCCAAGAAAGCCACCAGCATCCTGGCCAGTGTCAGGAACAGCGTGGCGAGTAGGGCCCAAGAGGTGATTGTCCCCCTGTACTCGGCACTGGTGAGGCCTCACCTTGAGTACTGTGTCCAGTTTTGGGCCCCCTACCATAAAAAAGACATTGAGGTGCTGGAGCGGGTCCAGAGACGGGCGACAAAGATGGTGAGGGGTCTGGAGAATAAGTCTGATGAGGAGAGGCTGAGGGAGCTGGGGTTATTCAGCCTGGAGAAGAGGAGGCTGAGGGGAGGCCTTATTGCTCTCTCCAACTCCCTGAAAGGAGGGTGTAGAGAGGTGGGGGTCGGTGTCTTTTCTCAAGTCACAGGCGACAGGACAAGAGGAAATGGCCTCAAGTTACGCCAGGGGAGGTTCAGGCTGGATATTAGGAAAAATTTTTTCACTGAAAGGGTTCTCAGCCATTGGAATGGGCTGCCCAGGGAGGTGGTTGAGGCACCATCCCTGGAGGTGTTCAAAAGACGGGTTGATGTAGTGCTTGGAGGTATGGTTTAGGGATGATGCTCCTTGTTTGTTGTGTGGGGGTCTATTTTTGTCAGTTAGGGTGACGGTTGGACAAGATGATCTTTAAGGTCCCTTCCAACCTAGAAGATTCTGTGATTGTCCGTGTCTTCCCGCCCAGCGGCGGGGCCTGCGCGGACCCGTCTTCACTAAGGAAAAACCGGCAGGTTCAGCTGGACCAGAGGTAAATCCTATTAAATAGGAAGGCTGGGGGTGAGAAAAGGATTGATTGGGTTCTCCAGGAAGTGCTGTGACAGGACAAGGGGTAGCGGTTTTGCATTGGAAAAGGGGAGATTTAGATTAGATACCAGAAAGAAATTCTTTCCTGTGAGGGTGGTGAGACACTGGAACAGGTTGCCCAGGGAAGCTGTGGCTGCCCCATCCCTGGAGGGGTTCAAGGCCAGGCTGGATGGGGCTTGGAGCAACCTGGGCTGGTGGGAAGTGTCCCTCCCACCAGAGGGTTGGAACTTGACGACCTTTAAGGTCCCTTCCAACCTAAACCATTCTACGATTCACATGATTTATCACATTGAGGGAAAAAATTAATAATTACTCAACCTATTCACTTTTGTGCAAAATGCACTGTGCAAGTTTGGTGTTTTTTTGTTTTTTTTTTATTACTTGAAGTTAAAAAAAAATACCCAGAAAGACTCACGATTTTCCAGGTTGTGGTTTGGGTCTCCTCACCACTGTGAAATTGTCTCATAAACGGTTATATTTTTATGATGGTGAAATCCAGACTTCCTTCCCAGTTGGAGTCAAATTCCCACCTCAAAAGTGGGAACTACCAAATCCTTGCTGCATGCTGGTGTGCACCGAGATGCTTTTCTGCCCAGTGCAGACTCCAACGTTATTTTGTGGCATGTTCCACTTCATCTGGGCAAAACATAATTGATAAAACTTTAAAATTTGAATTGGGTTTAAAATTATTCAAATTGAGCAAAACCCTTGGTATTGGGAACGGTAAGTGCTTAAGTGTTATGGCATTGCTATTACTTTTTTATATTCTTATCAACAGATCCTCTACAAGAAGTGCAGTGTAAAGTTCAAAGAAAGGAAACAGATCTAAAGCAGAACCGTGAGCTGATGGATCAGACTCCTTCACTGCACAAAACCATCCAATTTTTAGACACACCCCCCCTTTAGAATTCTGTTGAAATGTAAATAATTTTCAGATTTGTATATCTGTACCTGGATATATGATACATTTTACCTTTGCCTCCACTTGATTTTTCCAGCCTGTGGGAATAAAACCACAGACCAGCTAGGAAAAAAAAAGAGCCTCATCCAAAAGGAATGAAGGGTGGAGTGGCCTTTAGCTAGGAAAATAGGTTAACACTGGAAATTACAAGGGTGGCCCTGTAAATATTTTTGTGTACCACCAGCAAATCCCTAGTAGTATACAGAAATATTTATTTCTAATATTCTACAAGGAGAAATCCGAGTTAGATTTGCCTTGGCTAATGTATGCATGTGCTCTATATCAGTTTGTCAATGATGTGTGTTTGTCCCCACATGTAAGTATATATGAGTATGCCAACATTTAACATGTGTTCTTAAAATGCTCTATATTGAAAAATTAATAAAAACTCTTTTATACCTGCTGCATTTTAGTTTCTTTTAGAACTTTATAAAATGACAGCAAAAACCCACCCTATTGTCTTTTTACAATAACGTGACACTGTAATTGGATGTTCAGACATATGACCCAATCCCAAACTCAAAGTTACACAGGACTGGAGATTTTAGGAAATTTTAGAGAACAGTGGCTCCAGGGGCCCTGCCTGTCCCTGCCCTCTTGCCCCAGGACCCCTGGCTCCTCAGGGGCCTCTTGACCTGCCAGCTCATCAGGACCATGTACATCACGATCACGTACATGCGGTTTTTCCCCTCCAAATTTTGGGTGTTTTTCCTCTCTGACAACAAAACTCTTAAAGAAAGCCTTACTGCGTATAAGCTCAGCTTGCCTAATTATGATTCCTGGGGAGAAAAAGGGGTTTAACAGGCAAGGTCATAATAAAATACAATGCTTAGAAGCTGAAATGAAAAGGGAAAAAAAAAAAAAAAAAGACGACTGAAATCTGAGGTAACTCACCGTGAAGTGCTTTATTGAGGATGTGGTAGGTTCACTGTCATGCAAGTCTTTAAATCAAGACTGAATGCCTTCCTCTTTTCTATGGATGGGCAGTAGCTCAGCTGTAAGTTATAGGCTCCACGCAAGCAACGTTCTCCGACGTCTCAGAATTCCAAGTCAGACTGCATTACCATAACAGCCCTTTCTGGTATTAAAATGTATGACTTCATTAATCTGTCTTGTAGGAATTTGAACCTCCCATTGGAATCAAGGTTAGCTGTAAAAAGCACTGTACTAAGCGCAGTCTGGGTCTTACACATTGCCAAAATTGACATTTTCAGAATTAAGGGGCACTTTGGAAATGTGAGTGAATATTGCCAGGTTTGTCACTGAAGTCAATGACTGAGGGTTACCTTTGATAACGGCTGACTTGGACGTTGAATTAACCAGCCGTCATGTTCTTTTTGTTTCATATTTCTTTTCTGGGGAGGAAATCATCAATGGCTATTTAAAGTATTACACTTTGACATGCTTTCTAGTATCTTTCTCCCCGTGGTTTCCCACTGCTCAGTAAGCATGCTGAAAATCAGGATGCTTGTTCATTGGTATTTTGTAAGTCAGGGTACGACCTCTGGTACTTCTGTCACTCTCTAAAAACCAGACTTGTGTTTCTTCAGTTGCAAAACTAATAAGCTAAGGCTGTCTAGCAGACAATTTGCAAGACAGCAGTAAAGAATATACAAATCTTACTTCAGCTAAATGGTATAAAATGTTGGCCAAGCAAAGAAGGTGTCTTACTACTTTTAGGTAAGTGTGTATCTATCTCATTTCCCTTCATTATCTCCAAGATGTTTCTTGCTGAGCAATAAAGTGAACTACAGACCAGCTGTTGCCCTACACAAAACTCTTTTAATGTGGTTCTGTTGTTTCACTGAGGTTTTGTTGAGAGTTTTCTGATTTATGTACTACACGAGCAGTCCGTCTGGGTCACTTATCTCAGATATTGAAGCAAAAGTAGTTAAACTTTCCTTTACTCATCGTCAAAATCGGCTGGTAGTAAGATTTGCAATTATTCTACATGAATTAAGGAGTATACATGACCTTGCAATGAAGCCTCCATGAGGATCAATGTAGCACATTCTATTTAGAATCACAGAATGGTTCAGGTTGGAAGGGACCTTAAAGATCATCCAGTTCCAACCCCCTGCCCAGGGCAGGGACACCTCCCACCAGACCAGGTTGCTCCAAGCCCCATCCAGCCTGGCCTTGAACCCCTCCAGGGATGGGGCAGCCACAGCTTCTCTGGGCAACCTGTTCCAGTGTCTCACCACCCTCACAGGAAAAAATTTCTTTCTGGTATCCAGTTTGGCACCTAAAATCTCTTAGCGTGGTCTATGTGCTATATATTGTTTTCTGAAAATTTACATATATCTGTAAACGAACTAGCTAAGCTTTTCCTGATGTTAGTTGAAGTTTGCTGGAAACGGTGCTAACAGATTTTCACAGCAGGAGATCTGCAGCTCAGATCCCTCGTCTGTGAAACCGTTTTCTAATAATTTTTCAACACGAATCCGACAAGCCCTCAGGACCTAATGCAAATCCAATTACTTGACAAAATCTGTAGTCAGCCATATTTATCAGTTAAACAAAACAGTGGGGTTTATTTCTGGATTTGACATTTTGGAGCTCCCAAAGCCCGGTGTATTTACCTTTTTCTATTTGAATCGCCAGGAGGTGTAAAAAGAACCTCAGGTCTCTGTTAATGCAAACGGATTGAGGGTGGCTCGTTATTCAGAGTTCTCTTACGAGGGCTGGGATGCAGAGACACCCTGGCTGTTACCTGGAGACCTCCTTGATTTCTGCTCCTGAGAAATCTGTTAGTGGCAGCCCAATTTTGCCAGCCTCTGTAAACGCACTGTGAGCTTTGTAGTGTGTTGCTTTCTTAAATCTCTGCAGCT